TGAACTCATTGCCCATATTAAAGTTTTCACACTGACAGGCGGACAACAAATTAACATATATTCAAATTCTCCTTATACGTTCCATATAGTACAGTCACACTCGACTATCTGGAAAAAACTGGGTTTCCTAACAGCAAAAAACGCTCCTGTCGTAAATGACTCTCTCATCAACAAACTCCTTCAAGCAGTCAGGCTCCTGCAGAAAGTTGCCATCATTCATTGCAGGGACCACCACACCCCACACAATTATATATCCGTTGGAAATGCGCTAACAGATTAGGTAGCAAAACAAATAGCCCTGCAACCCGTGCAGGGCCAGTTTCTGTCCCTGTCCTTGTTCTCTCCTCTTTACACCTCAGAAGAAAAGGAGGACTTCTGAGCCCAAAACCTTCAAAAGCAAGGACCATGGTATGTCAAGGAAAGACGCTTCGTTCTTCCTCACTCTCAAAACCTTCCTCACCTCCAAAGCCTCCACAACTCTTTCCATGTCGGTTACAAACCTCTCTTGCAACTTCTCCATTCTGTTCTCACTTGTCCCCACCTTTCCAGCCATTTCTGAGAAATTACCCAGTCCTGCTCTATCTGCCTCTCAGTGTCACCCCAAGGCTCCCTCCAGTCGCCACCTTTTCCTACTCATCAAGCCCGGAACCAGGTACCAAGGCAAGATTGGCAAGTAAACCTCACTCACAGGCCGTCCAATAAATGGCTCTGCTATCTTCTAGTCTTTGTCTATACTTTCTCTGGGTAAGTAAAAACGTTCCCAACAACTTCAGAAGGTGCAAGTGTTGTCAAACAAACTCTCATCATGCATATAATTCCCCATTTCGGACTCCCAACATCCATCCAGCTGAATAACAGGCCCGCCTTCATCAGCCAAATTACCCAAGGTATCTCTACATCCTTAAATATGAAGTAGGTTCTCCACACACCCTACAGGTCTCAATCTTCAGGCAAAGTTGAAAAAATTAACTCTGTCCTTAAAGCCCAACTCACCAAGCTGGCTGTTAAAACCCACCAGCCATGGACAAAAAAATCTCCCTTTTGCCCTCATGAGACTCCACACAACACCAAAAGCACCCTCTTTTTATAGTCCCTTTAAAATCGTGTATGGCAGAACTTTTATCTTAAGGCCTCCACCCTTACCAAACTCTAAGCCACTCAGAAATTACCTCTCCTCCTTAATCCAGACACAGTCTTTCATGCAAGAAGCAGCAAATGAGGCCATGCCTCTCCCTGTTGACACCTCCTTGTCCTCTCAACATAACTGTCTTGCAGGCACAGACGTGTTTCCAGACAATCCAGATGATGCTCCCACTACAAGGACACAGTGGATACCAACCCGTCTCTCAACAATACCCCAAAAATTAAGGTTTTCTTTTTCCAAGGTGCCCACGCCACCCCCTATATCACGCCTGAAGTAGTTATTGAGAAAGTCGCCCCTTTTCCCTTTGATCTATAACCAAATAGACAGGAATGTAAGATTCTCCCTGGGGCCCGAAAGCTTAAGGAGATGAATAACTCTTCCCTTCTCAGGCCCAGTACCCAGGCGCAAGGCTACTTACTCAGTAGCATGCGCCGGCAAGATAGCAGAAATAGGAAAAGAGCCAGCAGAAAGACAGCTACCCTGGATGGAAGACACATGCCCCTTAAGACTGAGAAAGAGGCCATCCAGGTACACTGTAGCAGTTATGTCTGACTAGAACACTTCCTATTTACAGGAGACTATAAAACTTTTGTCCTGTCTTCACTTGGTGCTGACACCATTTTAGGCCTCAGCCTTCCTGCACCCAGGCACTCATTAAAACAGCATGTTGCTCCATACTTCCTTGTGTTGTCTGTTGGCGTGCTCTGGGGGTTCAAACCGACACAGAAACCTTACAACTATGATTAATTGAGTTGGTTACCCCAAATTCATATGTTAAAGCCCTAACCTCCAATGTGAGTATATTTGGGCATAGGCCTATAAATTAGTAATTAAGGTTAAGTGCAGTCATAAGGGTGAGGCCTTGACATGGTAGAACTGGTATCTTTAGGTGTCCTTATGAGACGTGTGAGAGAGACCAGAGAACTCTCCTCCAGTACACAAAAGAAAGGCCATGTGAGGACATAGTGAGAAGGCAGCCAAGAAGGGAAGTCAAGAGGAGAAGAACCCTCACCAGAAACCAACCCTGACAGTACTTTGCACCTTGATCATGAATTTCCAGCCTCCAGTACTGGGAAAAAATAAATTTATATTGTTTAAGCCACCCAGTCTGTGGTGTTTGCTATGGCAGTCTGGAGACCCTTTCTTCTTCCTTTTCTGGAAACGAATTATCCAGTTATCTCCCAAAATGGGGTGTGGGAGTATTCACCTGGCAGCATCAAGTGGGCAAGGGGATCTGATATTCTAATTATATTTTAAACAGAATTTCAACAAATCTTTTTAAAAAATTCGTATTTTCATCACTACTTCTGGAGGTGTGAGGAATAAACTCTGACCTTTTTCCTGTCTTGCCCAAATTCCTAAGCGGCCTGGGGAGTAACACCCTACAAACCATAAAATCTCACCACATAGGTTTTATTTAATCCTATATAACACAGCTTACTTTCCAAGCTTACTCTAGCATAACATCAAATGACAGATAAAGAAGAAAATCAAAATATTTTACCCCAAAATATGTCTCTTTGACATATTTTGAGTGGCCCTACAAAGCCTTCTGTTGTGAAGGAAAATTCGCATCTATCAAGAATATGATGAATATCACTAAATCTTATCCTTTTCAGTCTCTTCCAATCCTGAAGAGATGAACTGAGAGACTAGAATCCTTTACAGGTATGAATAGGAAACAATTGCCATCTATTGCCTCTAAGGGCAGCCACCTATGAGACTTTATCTACATAATAAGAACCTTGGTTTCCATCACCCTTTATCTTCCTCCAGACACTCCTTTCTATTGATTCCAGGTTTTTAGATAATAACTGTTTCAACCAATTGCCAATAAGAAAATCTTTGACTCCACCTATAACCCTATGACCTATAAACTCCTACACTACCCACCCGTGCTCCTGTCCCATCCTCACCCCCAAACCTATGGATACCTCACATGTGTAGATTAATGTCTTTTGTCAACCCAACCACCTTGGGCATGTGTTCTTAGGACCTCTTGAAACTGTGCCTTGGGTCATGACCACTCGTATTTGCCTCAGAATATTTTACAGAATAATTTACTCTTCAAATATTTTACAGAATTTGACTCTTTTCATGGTCAGGTGATTAGCAAAGTAAAGATGGCTTTTTTTATTTTTTTGCCATTGGGAGATTAGGATTTGGTTTACATTTTTTTTTTTTTGATACCAGCAATTACTGCTTGTCTATCTGCCAGCCAACTCCCCAGATATTATTATTATCATCTCCTTTGTCATTCTATTTTGTCCTTTGGGGTTTAGACTTTGTAATTTTTTTTTTCTATTCTATTCAGAATTCTTTAGTGAGATTTTAGAAAACAGAGCAGTTACATGCATGTGTTCAGTCCTAAATCAATTGGAAAATTATGGCTCTTTGGTAGTGTGATTAATTTTTTATTTCTTTGTATTCTACTTATGTAGTACATTAATTTTGGATTTCTTTGCATCTTCCTTTACTGGCAGTCCATGAGGATAAGGAAGGTGAGTGTTCTTATTCATTTTTTCTTCTTTTTATTTTTCTTTCTTTCTTTATTTTTTCTTTTTTTTTTTTTTTTTTTTTTTTGATACAGGGTGTTACCCTGTCTTCCAGGCTGAAGAACAGTGGCATGATTTGGGCTCACTGCAGCCTCAACCTCCCAGGCTCAAGCTAACCTCCCACCTCAGCCTCTCAAGTATCTGGGACTACAGGTGTGTGCCACCATGCCTGGCTAATTTTTACTTTTTTTTTTTTTGTAGAGATGGGATCTCATCATGTTGGCCACGCTGGTCTGGAACTCCTGAACTCAAGCAATCCACTCACCTCAAACTGTCAAAGTGCTGGGATTATAGGTGTGTGTCACCATGCTCAGCCCTTATTCACTTTTATGTCCTCAGAGCTCCCATAGTCATGACATATAGCAAAGAATCAATAATTACTTTTTTAAAAAACAAGATACTCTCCAGATTTTAATGATTTGTCAGTTGCCGTAGTTTTTTCTATGCATAAGTCCAGCTTTCCCCACTCCATTTCCCTTCCAGTCACTTTGATTTTTTCTCTAATTACTGGTCAAGATTCAAATGAAATGAAGCAATAAAGACATTTGTATATTTGCTTATAAGAGAATAAGCCTTCAAAAAGGATTTGAAAACTTGAGTTTTCCCTAAGTCCTTAAAATAGTTCCAAATAGCACCACTCCAATTACCAAAACATCATTAATTTTTTTGAGTACCTTAAATTTTAAACAATGCTGAATATTTAAGCCAATTAAATAACTTTTTTCAAAATGTTAACACATTTACCATATAAAACTATCTTAAATACCACCGATAGTATATATAACTCTCTTTAAGATAGCACATTTCAGACTAAAAACAGCGTCAGCTATGTCATTTTCAGTAACATGAAGCTAAAATTTAAATAGATCACCAAAGATTTAATTGAAATGAGCAAAAACATGATTGGTGTCAAATGTTCATTTAGCATGTCAAAATGTTCATTATATCAAATAATTAAATTATAGAAAATTCATTTCAGTTGATTTTTATGAAATGTATTCAATTGTAAATTAATACAATGTGTATGTTTTTCATAGGTGTGATAAATATTACATTTAAAGTATGACAGAAAAAATAATAACATATATTTTATTTTTATATAAATAACCTTGTTACGCTCACCATAGCAATCTTTGAGTTAACAAATTTAAGTTAAAAGTGTACCTCCTTTTTACTATTATGGATTAAAATAGAAAATCACGATGCTCTTCAATAATATTTTGATTTGATGACCTGTGTTTATAACTAAATGATAATATCTTTACAGTTCATTTGGAAAAACTTCAATGTTTTGTACTTACCTACAATGTCCTTCATAAGGCCTACGATACTCTCATCTCCTGTAATCCAAGGACGCTTCCCCACTTCATGACCATAGGCTGCTCTGAAATTGAAAAGGGACGTAAACATTTCTTAGCTTTTGTGTGCATGTGTGTGATTATTTCAAATATCAGCTTTAGCAAATAAACATTTCTATGTGGACCTTTCTCTGTGTTAGTCATTATATAAAATCAAGCTTTTTTAAAACAAAAAATATAATACTTGGGATTAATGTCTATTAACTTCTCTTTTAAAATTTATTTTCTTTTTGTTAGGAAGAGGGGGGATTGTTCATATGTTATTTTAATATTTTGCTCTATTCTAGAGTCTAATTTTTTTGGTCTCAGTTATTTTGCAATTTTTAAGATTATTTGAACACACTTTTATACCTGTAGAATGTAGTATCTATACTAAAACTTACATACTGTTTTGTAAGGCTAGAAACTAAAATAATTATAAATTGACATTTAAAATATACCTATAATCTGTAAATTTAATAGAAGAATATAAAATATGATTATACTCATGATACCATTTTATATTAAATAACAAAATTTATGAATAATCAAAGCCAACACTGCTTGGTTTGACATATTTGCTAGCAATTTCATCTGTCACATTCCAGCTCAATTTTATTATTCTAGTAAGTATCCCAGGAGGCATAGTAGAAAAATGCAAAACACATAGAGTACTTCAACTTTCAAGAAATTTCCATGAAATGAAGAAGGCAAGTACACTTGAAAAACATAGAAGAAATTAAAACAGAGGACTAAGGTGAAGTGCCTCTGAGTGCTGTTACATTGTTGTATCTTATGATGCTCTGAAGGTGGTGGTAGTTCTGTAAGCAGACAGGGAGGTCTCCAGGGATCATAACATTTAATATACTTGAGCCATCAGCCTGTTTTACAGCCTCCTGCCCTGTCACCTGTCTGTTTCCGAAGCCTGGTTTGTAATGCTGTCACCTTGTTGGTTGGAGCCAGCTTCTGCCAGACCGCAGCAACTCATGGATGATCCTGAGTGAACTGTCCTCATTACCATGCTAAAGTCTCCACCCTGGGGAGAAGCTATAGCTTCATTACCATACATGCAATCTATGCACTGGCATGATTACTCACTGAATCTCCACAACTGCGACCCTTCCTCTACATGTGATGATGCATCTTCTCCCCTATCACCCCGTAAAACTCCCCTTTCACTTTTCCTCTGGGAGACACTGCTCTTGTGAAAACTCCCAGTGTCCTCCTTACTTATACCAAGTAATCAAACTTCTATTGATCAAAACTTGTTTCCTCTGTTTTTTTTTTTTAACTACAGAGAAATAGTTTATTTTAAATCATATTTTAGAATTAAGCAACATTTTAAAACTTATTTCATAGTAAATATTACAAAGATGGTTTCACAATTTAAAAGATAAATATTAAATGTTTGAGCCTGCTATATATTCCTCTGACTTTTTAAAAATTATACTTTAAGTTCTGGGATACAATGTGCAGAACATGCAGGTTTGTTGCATAGGTATACACGTGCCATGGTGGTTTGCTGCACCCATCAACCTGTCACCTACATTAGGTATTTCTCCTAATGCTCTCCCTCCCCTAGCCCCAACCCCCGACAGGCCCCAATGTGTGATGTTCCCCTCCCTGAGTCCATGTGTTCTCATTGTTCAACTCCCACTTATGAGTGAGAACATGTGGTGCTTGGTTTTCTGTTCCTGTGTTAGCTGAGAATGACGGTTTCCAGCTTCATCCATGTCCCCAGAAAGACCTTTGTTACCACGTGAATGAAGCCCATTTTTTTCTGGGTAACAGTTCTTAATTCTTTAGGAATCCAAAAGTTTGTCAGCTTGAAAGAAAGGAATGAAAATGTGCTTTTTGTATAGTACCAACCTGGGTTGAATCTGTGTCAGTAAACTGGTGCTGGTGGGCTGCTACTCCCTAAGAGGGGCGGTTAAGACCGGAGGACTAGAGCCCTGTTTTTCCTCCTTTGCAGATTTCCAAGGTGGAAATACTCCCATCATGGGTGATTTCATACTATCAACAAAAATTCTGAGTATTTAATAATTGGCTTCTGACATCTGGTATAAGTCAGCTGCAGGTCAGTACTGGTCATGAGACCACATTTATTGAAGCTATAGGGTTTCATTTTCCACATTTGTACAAGTAAATGGGTAACGATGTGGACCTTAAAGGATTCCCATGAGAAATAAATGAGATAACATGTGAAAGAGACCATTACATAGTACCCCGTTTCTGAGTCTTCTTTCCTAATGTAAATCTAATGCTAAAACTCCCTTCATCAGCATGTGGTATAGAACACAATTTTTAAACTAACATGTCTATTACCATATAAACTAAGATGAAGGAAGAGGACTTTCTTTGAGAATAAACATAGACTGCTAAGAACTAAGGATGGAAAAGAGGGGCAGTCGTTAGTTATTATTATTCATATTGTTATTAGACAGCCTGCAGCTTGCCTCTTTCTTGATTTTCAATATAAATGCTAAAGACAAAAATCATTATCGCTAAATGGTAGTTAAAGGCAGATACTTGGATCCTTTTTAATTTTAATCACATAGAGCTCCACGGCCTTTGCTGATAGCACAATACATCTTATTACATTTAGGTAGTAAAATTCTATGTTCTGCCTCAGAGAATTTATATCTCAGAATATTATGCCACCTACTCCTCTCTCTGGTAGACACCGTGGTAATAATCTTTAGGGATATGTTTCTTCCTGCAATGCTTTTGGCATCTCCCTCCCTTCAAAATACCACACAGTGTCTGCTGCTTCATTTTGTTAGCCCACTAGCCTGGGGTAGTGAAATGTATTTACAAAGTGTTACCCAAATAAACCCAAAGTAAAGTGGCCTGTCATTAGAAAGAGTTGATGTAGATTAAAGTGCAGTTATAAACATCAGTATTAGAGTTAGGAAAAAAATATTATATTGCTCAAACAAAACTACTTAAAATAGTTGCAGCACAGATGTAATCTTCTTTTACAAATGCTGGAAAGGAAAAGAGAGCATGGGAGAGAGTTAACTCACTGCCACAGAATAAATCATTGCTATAAGTGGGTGTTTTCTGAGACATCTACTAGGAGTATTCACTCACAAAATTAGGACTGCAGGATGGAAAATTAGTAAGTTAATAGAAACTTGGATCCTCTTTAAAGTAGGACTATGCTTTAACCATCCCACAAAATGAAAAATGGCCCTGTTTTTAGAAAGCTTCCTTCCATAAGGAAATAATTACGATTTCACAGCCTGCCTTCACTATATTATATTTTTTTTCCATGACCCACTTGATGATTAGCCAATAAAGACGTTGCGAGGCCGGGGATGGTGGCTCATGCCTGTAATCCCAGCATTTTGGGAGGTCAAGGTGGTTTGAGCCCAATTGTTTGAGACCAACCTGGGCAACATAGGGAGACGTCGTCTCTACAAAATTAAAGAAAAAATTAACCAGGCTTGGTGGCATGTGCCTGTAGTCGCAGCTACTCAGGAGACTGAGGTGGGAGGATAGCCCAGGTCTGAGAGTTTAAGGCCACAGTAAACTATGATCACATCACTGCACTCCAGCCTGGGCAACAGAGTGAGACCCTGACTCCAAAAAAATAATGTTAATTAGAAAAACAAAAATAAAGATGTTGTGAAAAATCTTTGTAACATGCCATTCTATGTATTTTCTTATGTTCTCTTATTCAAACACTATTGCTCTTAAAGGAAGAAATGCTTAAATTAAATGAGATTAGAGGGGTCTGAAGGAGGCATCTACATCTCTCTGGCGTGTTTTATCAGTGTCCTGTCAGCACACACACACTGCCATGTAAAGTAAACTCAGTAGTGTATTCCTGATATTTAATTCAAAGGCACATTTTTATCTTTAAATAATCTTACCTAAACTGTCACAGTTCTTAGAAGAATCCCTGTACAGACAAAACTATAGTAGGTTTTTGCTCTTATGAAAAAGAGAGAACACCCTTGATGTAGCAGATTTGACAATGTAAATGACCCAAAATATTGTGATTCTATTTTAGGGACATAATACCCATTCCCCACCTTAAAATACGCTCTTTAGGACTTATATACCCTTCTGTTCTAGCTGGATTGTGGCATTATGATTATTAACCAATGTTATTCTCCATTAAATAATCTAGGTCATTAGTAAATATTTAATATATTATTTCCAAATACTTATGCTTATTGCCTATTCATTGCAACAGACCCGTAGATTTCAGACATACTGTTGCTTCTTATTATTATAAAACCTTTTTGCTTATAATTATTAAGTATCAAATAAATATAATCACACAAAAAGTTTTATATTTCAGAATATTAGAATTGCCTAAATGTTGCCATTTTGCAAAACAAATATATTCCTCAATGTGTTATTAATCTACTTTAGAAATCCCGTAGAGTTGAAAATGAAAATGCAAAATAATGGTAATAGCATTTTAAAACTAACACAGAGGTAAAAGTTTCTAAGAAAACAATTTTCACAGTTTGCCTTAAGAAAGTTTAAGTTTTAGAAATAATTTGGTTCTACTATCATCTGAATGTGTCCCCTTCAAATTCTTATGTTAAAACTTGATCTGCCGATGTGACAGTATTAAGAGGTAGAGTCTTTAGGAGGTGATTCAGTCATAAGGGCAGAGCCCTCATGAATGGGATTAGGACCCTTATAAAAGAGGTGGGAGGCAGGTGTTTGCCTCTTCTGCCACATGAGGATGCAGCAAGAAGCACCATCTTGGAAGCAGAGAGCAGACCTTACCAGACACTAAGTCTGCCAGCACCTTGATCTTGGACTTCCCAGTCTCCAGAACTATAAGAATGTTCACTTCTCTTCTCTATAAATTATCCAGACTTGGGTATTTTGTATAGCAGTGGGAACAAACTAAGACAGATCCTAAAATATTTCTAGTTTTACCTCTATTCTTGGCTTTTCCTTAGTATAAGTAATCAAAGATGGTAGCCAGATGAATTACAAAATCAGGCTGCATTATGACAAAAAATTGTTTATTCAATACTTAGGTGTGATAGGCAGTATGTCTGCAATAGGCCATAAAACTGGAGAAGATGGAATCCATGAGCCCAATGGCATTTCCTACTTTATAGCACTTGGATGGACAGAGATTTGACACCTATATGCTTGTGCAAAACCTTGCTTTGTTAAAGCACTCTAATTTTTATGTTACTGTTAAAATTATAATTTTTTTTGAAACTGGGTCTGACTCTGTTGCCCAGGCTGGAGTGCAGTGTCAAAAATCTCAGCTCACTGCAACCCCCATCTTCCAGGCTCAAGCGATCCTCCCACCTCAACCTGACGAATAGCTGGGACTACAGGTATGTGCCACTACATCCAGCTAAATTTCTTTTGTATATTTTGTAGAGACAGGGTTTTACCATGTTGCTCAAGCTGGTCTCGAACTCCTGAGATCAAGTGATCTGCCTGCCTTGGCCTCCCAAAGTCTTTGGGTAACACCCTTGAACCACCATGCCTGGTCAAGATTATACATTTTTAACACTGTCTTTTTCAACTAAGCAACTACTTTCAATGTGCATTACAGTGTTTAGTAAATGTGTAATCATCTTTGACTCAGCGATTCCCATAATCTTCCATTGGTCAAGAAGAAAGGGAGTCACTGACCTGGCTTGAGTACCAGCCAAGAAGTAGAGCAGAAGTGGCAATGAAGGAGGCAAAGAGGAAGAAGTGATCAGACAAAACTTACCACAATAATGCGAGGCCCTGGATCTAGAGGCAACTGAACACATGCAGGGTTTGACTTTAGTGCAAAAAAACAAAGCAACAGTCAGAACGAAAACTGAAGAGACCAACAGACCACTGAAGTGGCATGAAGACTACATGTATATATGTATGTATGTATTTAAAGACATGGTCTTGCTGTAGCCCAGGCTGGAGTGCAGTGACACAATAACAGCTTACTGCAGCCTCGACCTTCTGGGTGCAAGTGATCCTCTCACCTCAGCCTCTCACGTGGCTGGGACTACAGGCATGCACCACCATGCCCAGCTAATTTTTGTATTTTTTGTAGAGTTGAGATCTCACAATGTTGCCCAGGCTGGTCTGGAACTCCTGGGCTCTTGTGATCCACCCGCCTCAGCTTCCAAAGTGCTGGGATTACAGACAGTAGCCACTGCTCCCATCCCTTTGTTGCTCAGGCTGGTTTTAATTCCTGGGCTAATGTGACCCACATTGGCCTCCCATAGTGCCGGGAATACAGCCATGAGCCACCATGCCTGGTCCGACTACTTTGAACACATCTGAAAAAGGAGCAGCCACAGAAAGAAATGTTATCTAAACTTAAGCAAAGCCTCCTAAAAATACAGCTGCCATTGACCCATCCTCAGAGTTAGATGGACCTTAGCACCTGGAGGTACAAATTCAGCTGCCATTCATCTCCCTCTTGGGAGCTTCCAGCTAGGAAGGATACTGCCTATTAGCATCAGGATGAAAAAGCCCAATGGAAACCTTGATATTTTCCCATTGAAGCTCTAAAACTCTTCCCTTTAGTTAAGCTGGTATATAAACCCTTACCCATGGCTGTTCAGCAAACTACCCCTTGTAGAATTCTTCTATCTGAGTGTGAAATAAACTTTTCTCCTGTTAACCTGTCTGTTGTCAATTAATTGGCAGGCCCTCACCACTTTGACCTAAGTACTCAGTTTGTAGAGAAGTTTCCTCCCAACAGAACTTTAGCTGGAAAAGATCAGAAGTGGGATTTTAAGCTAAATATTTGGGAGATAAAAAACAATAACGAGCAAACACTTTTGGGATCAAAAACGGTGGGTGAGGTAGGGAGAATAGGCATGTGATCAGGCATCCCAAACACCACAGACATTTATGGGCAGGACCATGATGTTGACAGAGTCACTACAGCTTAAAACAAGAAGACTACATAAACTAAACAAAGCAAGGATGGAATAGATGTCCATTTGCTTAGCAGTCTTCTTTAATTCACTGTACATTGCCTGAAGCATTAAAATACACAACCTTTCTGAATCATCTGTCTAATGAAAACTCAGTGAGAAGGTTTAATTAAAATGATGAAATTTTCCATCATCACAAGGTGAAATGTAAAAGACAAAGCAATAGAAGGGCATGAGGTGATTTCCTGAAATACAACTTTAAAGTCTTGAAAATAATCAACCAGTTTCTTACTTAAGTGGGATGACTATAAGGATATGAATAGAATAGCAGGGTAGAATATATTTTAAATGCTTAAAGGATAAAAATTCACAGCCTTGCTGAATGAATACCCAAGAGGCAAGGACACTCTATAAGTTCAAATTCATTCAATCTAATTATCTGCCCTCTCTTACATTAAGGCCAAAAATGAATATTAACCATTTTTATTAACTATGACCCCCATTCATTAAATACTAAAACCTGCTAGAGCAAATGTGGTGGTATGTATTTTGCAAATTATGCATAAAAGTTATGCAGATAAAGTTATAACATGATTAATAAATTATATAAACTTCTATCATTTTTGCATCAAGTTGTGAAATTACATTCTTAATCACTGAAATGAAGAATTTCACAGTGTTATCTAATAGCCATAGTTGTAATCATTTGTACAGTCAGTGTAAGCTAAATATTATTTATTTATTTATTTTATTGAAACAGAGTCACCCAGGCTGGAGTGCAGTGGTGCAATCTCCGCTCACTGCAACCTCTGCCTCCTGGGTCCAGGCAATTCTCTTGCTTTAGCCTCCTGAGTAGCTGGGATTACAGGTGCCTGCCACCATGCCCGGCTAATTTTTATATTTTTAGTAGAGACGAGGTTTCACCATGTTGGTCAGACTGGTCTCGAACTCCTGTGCTTAGATGATTCACCCACGTCAGCCTCCCAAAGTGCTGGTATTGCAGGCATGAGGCACCACTCCCGGCCTAATTTTTGTATTTTTTTTAGTAGAGATGAGGTTTCACCATGTTGGCTAGGCTGGTCTCAAACTCTTGACCTCAAGTGATCTGTCCACCTCAGCCTCCCAAAGTGCTGCAATTACAGGCATGAGCCACCGTGACTGGCATACTAATCTTTAAAGAACGGATATTGTTCCCAATTTGAAAACCAGTAGCATGAAGAATGAGGAAAAGTAAAGAATGTAGTCTGAGTTTCTGACAGCCAAATGTTTTTCCTCTGAAATTCTATTTGGTTTGGTTTCATCTTTCTGAAGTGTTTTCCTAACTGTCAAGTTTGGCTCATCTTCATATTGATTTTTCAGTTTCAAATAATCAGAAAATATTTTTAAAATATTTCCGGTTATCATAAAAATAAGTGTCGATAATTTGGCCTAATCATGAAGAGATGAAGCTTCTAAACATTAACTCCTCTCTTAATTATTAAAGAAATAAAATAAAATGATTACATATGGTTTAGGGATGTCAACACAGGAGAGGAACTTAAATGTTTAAATACTGTAAAAGTTTTAGTCCTGATTCTGCCACTAACTTGTTATGTCACCTTATTCTGATCCTCAGTTATTTTCATCAATCAAATGAGACTACTGAGCAGTTAAGGTTTCTCTGTATCCATGGATTCCCTCTCTATGGATTCAACCAACTCCAGATCAAAAATATTTAGGGAAAAAAATGGATGGCTGCATATATACTAAACATGTACAGACTTTTTTCTCATCACTATTCCCTAAACAATACAGCATAACAGCTATTTACATAACATTTATACTGTGTTAGGTATTATAAGTAATCTAGAGATTATTTAAAGTATATGGGACCATTGTGGATTTTGGAATGATAGGGAGGCCCTGGAACTAATTCTCTGCAGACAACCAAGGGATGACTGTACTAGGATTCTATTACACATCTTTCCAAATATTAGACAACCTAATGTGATTTTGTAAATGTTTGTATGTGATGTAGAGTAGTAGCTTTTAAAATAATACTTACATTTTGGCCCACTTATCTAGTTCTTCTTCAAGATACGTTTTAACCATTTTTGGCTGAAGACCAAGAGAATTTCCCAAGAAATAGATGGCATTTTCATCTTTATTCACTAATGATAAATCAACTGAAACAGAAGAAATGTCAAAAAAAAAAAAAAAAATTTTCAGTATGGTATTGTTAAGCCAGTACAAATAATTAATATAATCAACTCTAAGAAGGATAAAAAGTAATTAAAAATTACTCCCAAGGATGACATCAGGTCCTCTAAACAATAATTAACTTTTGCATTTACATTTTAAAATATAATTTAAACCTATAGAGGCTATTATGATGATCTCTCATATTTACTATGCTCCATGGGGAAATCTAAATTAGCAACTACATCCAATCATGAATAGCCAAAGCATTAGAAAAGAGTTAAAAACAAATGTTTTCAATTAGGAAATACATCAGCCTATCTAATTGTATAAGAAGATTACCAGAATTTAGTCAAGTACTGACACTGTACTGATTTGTGTTGTAGAAATGGCAATTTTTTCAAAAATGCAAATAATTATTTATATAACTAAAGTAGATGTACTGGATTTATGTGTTTTTTTCATTCTATATCCATACACATGTACAGATAGTACTAACACATGTATAGGCAAAGATTGTTCTCTATATCTACTTCTTATTCATATAAATCAAACTTTGGCGATTTTTATCCTGCAGCTTACCCACTGCAAACAAACCAATCCATGTGCTTAAAACATAGTCTAGAAAGTCACAAGTTTATAGTCACAATTGTAAGCTACTGAGTTTTGTCTTATATCTTAGGGGAAAAAAGACTAAGCTTCTTGTTTATATTTCATTGGAATCATTAAGTACTATGTTGGTCTTTATTTCAGACTACTTAATTAAACCTTTAAAGACTTTTTAGAGACATACCATCTATTTCAACCTGATCCCTTTTATAGATATTGTTCTTCATTGGCATCTTTTAAGCCTGACCAATACAAGATATGCACATATTGTTTACACGTGCACCAGAAGAGCCCTCTTGGTTAAGGTATCATTATTTTCTGGACCTAGGATTAGATATGCCTCCCCATTTCCCATCCTCAAGGTTATCATGTCAGCCAGGCACAGTGGCTCATGCCTGTAATCCAGGTACTTTTGGAGGCAAAATCGGGAGGATCACTTGAGCCCAGGAGTTCAATACAAGCCTGGGCAACATAGTGAGACTCCATCTCTATTTATTTTTTTAAATAAAAGGTTATCACATCAATGGTTCTTGTCACATTGGACATTACTGATAATCTCCTTATAGCTTGAGTCCAAGCTTAATGCCTTTGGGATTATATCCACAGTTTTTATGTCTCCTATGCTTTCTCTATACAACCCTTAAGAACATGAGAGCTCTAGGTTCCTAAATATTTCCCAGTCCTTCAGTGTCAGCTCCTGACTCTTGCACAACTCAATGTCATTTGGATTCTGTTGGACATCTTGTTTAGTATTTAATGCTTATGAAGTGGGAGAAAATTCCCTTTCTGAAGCATTTATTGTATTTACCTTTTTTTCCCCAAAGGCAAGTCAGGATTAATGTACACCAGCCAATCTTATTCTTCAGGATTATTTTCTGTCTCCTGTACTGACAACTTTTTTTTTTAGCATATTGTGAGTTTAGTGCTATGCTAAAATGTGTATTGTAGAAATAATATTATTACATTTTTCTTTGAAGTAGGTGTTGCCAATTAGAGCACACATTTTTTGCAGTTTCTCAATGGTCCTCTTGGTTTTCTCTCTCACTTCAATGGCCTTTTCACAAAGGCCATGGAGCTTACTAGAACTTTCCTTTTCAAAGTGAACTGCTTGATTAACACATGTCCTGTTAGTAGATCCCAAAATTTTGGTTAAGTCACAATGCTTCAAGACCGCGGTTCGCTCTTCTTGTAGGTATCATTTTCCAACTCTTTCTTTTATTGCCTTTACTTCTTATTTCCTGGAAAGTCTTCCTCCATTGAATTTAGCCTGATCTTATTAGGGGGAGGAAAAGGAGGATAAGCTGTCTCAGTTTCTTCCTCTTAATCTATATTGTCCAGATCTACTCTGAGAAAACACTGAGAGGTGTCATGATCTGGGGATCCTGTGGGTTCATGTTCAGATCAGATCATTTGCTGCATTTGTTCTGTTAATACCCAGCAGGCAGGATATTTAACCAGTACCTTTGTTTTAAGCAAGGCAAGGCAAACTTTTTCTGTAAAAAGCCAGAAAATAAATATTTCAGGCTTTCCAGGCCATACAGTCTCTGCTGCAATTCCTCCTTTTTGTTATGGTTGGATAAAAAAAAGCCATAGATAATTAAAAAACAAATGTGCCAGTCATCCTAAAAACTTTATTCCAAAAAGAAAGCAGAGATTTTTGAGCTTTGTCTGAGGGTCACACTTCAAATTCTGGCACAGATTGGGCATGTTAAAAGAGTTCATCGGTTCCCCCTATCAGCCAAGTCTCCACATTCAGCAAATCCTCCCTGAGCTGGGAATACTTGCTTCATGTAACAAGCCCACCCCTAGTTTACTAGGGCTTCTAGAACTAAGGCTTCTAGGTAACTTAAACAGAAATTTATTGTCTTACAATTTTGCAGACTCTAAGTCCAAAATCAAGTGTTGGCAAAGTTGATTCCTTTCAAGCACTGAGAGGGAAGAATATGTTCTAGGCCTTTCTGCTTGGCTTATAGATGGCCATCTCTTGTGTGTATGGCGTTCTCCCAGTATGCCTGTGTGTTTCCCAACTTCCCCCTTTTATAAGAACATTACAATATATTGAATTAGGACCCGCTCTAATGATCTCACTTTAACTTGATTGTTTTTGTAAGGACAGTCTTAGGCACAGGTGGTTAGGCTGTCAACACATGATTTTTTAGGAAACATAATTCAACCCATAGCACTCTGCTTAACGGTTCGTTTGACTTCAAACTTGTTTATGAGGTCAAGAATTTCAACTTTTAACAAGCAGGGCTTGCTCCAGTTAGTCCTTAAGTCAACAGTGTTAGAGCCATTCTTCTGGAACGCTCCCTTCTTGGAAAAGGCTACAGTATGATTGCTATAAAGCTCATGGTTCTGAAAACTCACTTGATTGCTTGAGGAGCATTTTAGTGCATCAGAAATGTCCACCACTGTGACCCTTATGAGCTTACTCTTTTAGTTTATATGAAGCTTAACCTAGGAACTAGTTTCAAAATATCAATATCACTTCAGATTTAAATATTCTCCCCAGCCCTAGCTCATGCTTGACTTAAGTTCAGGAAACTGCAGTTTGGAACAAAGTAATGTGTCTATTAACAATTTATTTTCTTGTTCCTCATTGCTACTGCTTCTAAGTCCTCCAATGGAGTGGAAAAAGAAAGACAAGAAAACCTTAGTCCAGTTTTGGTGCTTTTTGGTTAGCTCTTTCCCTATAAAGTATTTTTTGTGAGTTCATTAAAATCTCCTTCCCACTGGAGACCTCCAGTCTCCAGTTTCCTGAAGTAGTTAATGCATACTTAAGCTGATGTCTCATGATCTGCTTGCTACCACCACTTCCCACTTCATACAACATATTTCTAGAATATTTATGCAAAAATTACCACAACCCAACAAGCAGACTTCTCAGGTATGACCCTTTTGCAGTATATTTTTGTTATAGGAGTTATTAAGAAATTATTTTAGGCAAATAGGGATGAAAAGTGGTCCTTGGGAAGTTTTTGTTTCCTTTAAAGCAGCTCCAGAAATATTTCTTGTCTAACAGGAAAGCCCCGGCTCTTAGCTTTAATATGCAAATGCAGGCCATTAGAAACTGGGTCCACCAAACATGGTAAATTCCATCCTCTTCCTCTTGTCCCCACATGTGCCTGGCAACATGGCTGCCCTCACATATCTCCACAACTGGTCTCTAGCACAGTGAGAACACACACAACATTTATTGATAAAGTTCACCATCTTATATGGACATAGTTCATGTTGCCCTAAGATAATGACAATAATAACATCAAAGAGCACTGATCACAGATTACTATTACAGATATAATAATGAAGAAGTTTGAAATATTGTGAGAATTGCCAAAATGTACTGCAGAAACATAAAGTGAGTACATGCTCTTGGAAAAATGATGCTGTTAGACTTTCTGGAATCAGAGTTGCCACTAACCTTTAATTTGTAAAAAATGCAGTATCTGTGAAGCACTCTAAAGAAAAATGCAGAGCTCCCCAGGTATGGGCACTTTTCCAATCAGGAAAACAGGTGAAGGGTTCAAGATGGCTAACTAGAAGTAGCTAGTGTATGCTGCTCTCACAGAGAGAAAACAAAGTGGTGAGTAAATGCTACATCTTCAAATAGATCATCTAAGAGGTCATGTTGGGATTCAACAAGAAAGCAGCAGGGCCCACAGAGGAGAAAGGAGCAAAGCCAAGGACCTGCCCACCTGGAACCACTATAGAGCTTAGGAAGCTCCCTAAAGTCAGGAAAGGGTCGATGAGTGAAAGTTTCCAGGGGATCCAAACTTCTGCCATGGACCTTTGCAATCCTGGGCATGGGGGAAGCCACTGACCTCAGTGGAACTCCAAATCTACACAGAGACTAGCCTGGAGTCTTTGCAGGGGCACCACTTAAGCCCACAAAGAGCTGCACAGGCCTTGGATCCCTGAGCAGCTAGTCATCAGCTGCCATAGCCTCACTAGAGGCTACTGTAATGGTGTCAAGGAGTGGCCAGACTGCCTAAGCCAACAATAAAATAGGTCAAACACGGGCAATACATAATGATAAACGGTTCAATTCAACAAGAACACTAAACTATCCTAAATATATACATAGCAAACACTGGAGAACCTAGATTCATAAAACAAGTACTTCTAGACCTATGAAAAGACTTAGATGGTTAATAACACTAGTAGGGGATTTCAACACCCCACTTACAGCATTAGACCGATCATCAAGTCAGAAAACTAACAAATTTTGGACTTCGATTCAACACTCAACCAATGGGAGCTAATAGACATCTACAAAACATTCCACCCATCAACCACAGATTATACATTCTTCTCATCTGTGAACAGAACATATTCTGTGATTGACCATATGCTTGGAGATAAAGCAAGTCTCAATAAA